AACTCGAGTCAAAAGATCGCTTTACATTGTAAGCAGCAGAGACGTCGTCCGTGGCACAGATCGTTCCCCATTGTCTGCGTTTTACAAACAATACTATACTTCTTACATGCAGTAATTATTTTTGATATAACTCTTATTGAATCTTATGCCATTCAAAAATAACTTTTCTTTAAAATCTAGTGTGTAAGGTCACTTTTGTACTCTTTTTTCTTGTTTCTGATGTATATAACCATATATCCAAACCAATTTATTACATATTCATGCGCTGGTTACGCGTTTGACGTCATCTTTTTCATGAAACTCAATTTCAACAACACTTTTAAAATCATCACATCAATCGTCTGTTTTTAATGCTATTTATATGAAATTTTGACATATTATAAAGATTTTAATTTGGGTTTCACTAATCTAATTTTGAGTTCAATATGTTAGTACTAAAGAAATAAAAGCAAATGTAATAGTTATATACTTAAATTATTCTGAATTTTGTTCATGCGCTTGCAGACCTTATCGGCCATCATATGAATCGTCCTTATATTATAAATATGAATGTTATATATTTAAGAATTCATAATTTTAAAGAACATTGCAGATATTAATTATTATGCATATGCAAAATTTGTTTAGTATTGGTTGCATGTTTAAAAAAATATAAACATTGTCTACAACTTTTTGGGACAACCCTGGTATATAGGAAAAATCTTCTTCTCAAGAATAATTGACAGGAAAGATGAAATTCATGTGAAATCATCCTTAGGTAGTGTAGATATAAATTTGTTCAAATCATGTCCCCTGGGTGTAGGGTGGGGCCACAATGGCCAATCAAACTTTAACATAGGAATATGTTGGAAAACATTTTAGAATCTTCTTCTCAGGTACTGCTAAGCCATTATTAGTGATATTTATCTAGAAGCATCCTCAGGTAGTGTAGATTTTAGTTTGTTCAAATCATAACCTTCAGGGGTAGGGTGGGGCCACTATGGGGGATCAAAGTTTTGCATTAAAATATATATTTTAAAAAAAAATGTTCTTCTCAAGAATAGCAAAGCCATGATTAATGATATTCAGATGGAAGCATCCTCAGGTGGTGCAGATTTTAGTTTGTTCAAATCATAACCTTCAGGGGTAGGGTGGGATCGCAATGGTAGATTAAATCTACCATTTGTTTTACGATAGGAAACTAAATGGGAAAATCCCAAGAACAGAAAAGCTATGTTTAGTCATATTGACATGTACGCATCTTCATGTATTGAAGATTTAAGTTTGTTCAAATCATGACCCTTTGGGATAGGAAGGGAAACGACAGGGAATCAAATTCAAATCGTAAATAAGTGATATATACACTGTACATTTTTAAAAAATGGTATGTTATTCTAAGCTAAATCTTGCATTTTTATTTCTATTCATCTTAGGATGGGACGTATTATTGTAACGTGTCGAGCGGAATAATAATAACAATTGGGGGTCGTACCTTGTCAATTCACACACGTCTTGTACTCTCCGCTGCTTACACTGGAATGAATCGCTCTATAACGCATTTATATACCTTTTAACCCACTTCCCCGCAGTCACGCATTTTAATGCATATACCCTTTCCTATTTCAAACGCAAAAACACATATATACCGTTTCCCCGCAATCACGCATTTTCACGCACTTTAAAAAGTTCATTTAAATCGTTAATTTAATGCCAATTTACTTATATTTTATGCCTGCAAAAATCTGAAAGAAGACAAGTTATTTTTATGCCCCGCCATGAATAAGGCCCGGGCATATTGTGTTTGTCATATCCGTCTGCCGTCCTTCCATCCTTCTGTCCTTCCATCCTTCCATCCTTCTGTCCTTCTGTCTTCCGTCACACTTTGCGTTTAGCTCTGTTCAATGCTAAGTTTCAAAGAAACTATCAAAGATATTTTCATCAAACTTCATATGCTGATAGATATTGTTGAGAGCTATGCAACTGCATAAAAATTTTTGACCTTTCCTTTGACCTTGACCTCACTTTTCTTAAATTAGTGTTTAACTCAGTTTAAACATACCATTCAAGATGGTGCTATCAAACTTCACATGTTGATACAAACTTGCACAGATGATGCATCTAGGGATGAACACTACCAGACTTGCTTTGGATGCTGTATGTGACCTACATTTTCCAGATGAGTGACCAGATTAAAGTTTTTGGAGCAGGTCCATTCCTAAAGAACTATAAGCCTACTTGGACCAGACTTGCATGGATGATGCATCTAGAGATTGACACTACCAGACTTGCTTCGGATGCTGGATCTGACCTATATCTTCATTCTCAAAGAACTACCAGCCCTACCTGAACCAAACTTGCATGGATGATGCATCTAGGGATGGACACTATCAGACTTGCTTCGGATGCTGGATCTGACCTACATTTTTATTCACTAGTAACTATAAGCCTTAGCAGAACCAAACTTGCATGGATGATGCATCTATGGATGGACACTGCCGGACTATTCCCTAGTAACTATAAGCCTTACCAGAACCAAACTTGCATGGATGATTCATCTAGGGATACCAGACGTGCTTCGGATACTAGTAAATCCTCGGCGGGGCATTCATGTCCTATGGACATATTTCAAGTTGTATTAAAATATAGCGTCATAATACTATTTACGCTAAACTTATGAGAAACATGTTCCATGCTAGAAGGTGTTTGCGGGGAAATGGTAAATTTTTCTATGACTTGAACATTTATTGTATGTTGCATAAAAGTCAAGTTAGTTGTAAGGAGTTAAGGAAGATGTTTACACCCATAACTTAATAACTGAATCTGAATGATCACCATATATATTTCCGGAATATTACATTATATTATAGGTTTCATATCCGTCTGTCCAGCTGTCCGTATGTCCATTCGTTTCCCGCTTATAACTTCAATACTATTAGGCGTAGGATTATCAAACTTTGTTAACTGGTACTTCTTGGGTAGTAGACAGTGTTGTCGCGCACAAAAAGTACGTCGTTCTGACATTTAATAAAGAAGCTATTGCAAATAGCCAGTGTGTCACGCACAAAAAGTAGGTCGCTTTGACCTTTGTAAAGGTGCTATGGCCAAATAGGGAAAAAATCCTGTCCAGCTCATAACTAGAAAAACTATTAGACATAGATCTATCAAACTTGGCAAAAGTATACATCTTTGGTAGAAGGTGTGCCGCAACCTGTTTCAAGGTCACTGTGATCTATAATTAAGTGAATATTTTTAGAAACTAAGTCTTTTTAATTTTAAATTTCAAAATTCCTAAAAAATGTAAAAGAAAAAATATAGTTGTATCCATATTAAAAAGTGTTAAATCAAGTAAAAACTTATTTTTTCATCATATACTTTACAGCATGATCTGTAACAAATGTCAGTGTTTATGAGAGGAATTCAATTTGTCCCATGGGCATAATTATCAAGCACTAGTAAAGAAGAATTTTGATAGCAGAAATTTGCATGTAAAATTAGAGAGAAATTAATGAGTTTAGTGTGAGGACCTAAGTGGTAGAGCATCAATGTTATCTATATCCCTTTGGGAAGTGGGCTAATGGGCAGCCAGCCTGTTGGATTAAAATAGCTCTTGTTGCCTAGCCTAAGTTTTAAAATTAATTTGACGAAGAGAAATTAAAAATAAATTGATATTGCATAATAACTTATAATCTGATATTATATACGCAAGTGAGTTAAGGCTAAATATGGGTTTTTCTATGCAAATGAGCTAATAAAAATGCATAAATTGTGTATTTTATGTACAGAGAAAGTTCAAATTGATTTTCTTATACATACTTAGTACCCACACTATATTAATGCAAGTGCACATTATGACGTCATATTATGACGTCATAGTTCTTTCCCATTCAAGGTAATAAAACACATCAACATAACAACGTCGGCGCAAGGGCATATCCTATTTAATTTAAAATAAACAAAGTATAATATTAAGGAGAATATTCTTAAAAATAATAAAACTGCTAATATGCTCTTCTTCAATCGATAAATTTTTTTAAACTAAAACTGTACATTTTTAATAGAACTGTACGAATAGTAAATAAACAATTGCAGTGTCGACATTTGTGCAGCAATATCTTAAATCTTTGGAATTTTCTGCTTTTCTTTATACCTTAATAAACTAAAGGCTGATGACGTCATAATATGACGTCATAATGTGTACTGGCAATCGCATATCGTGGGTACCAAGAATGTATTAGAATACAAGTCTTAACATTTTCTTTCTGGTATGTATAGGAATTATAGGTCTTAATTAATTATTTTGTAGAGAAACCTCCACACGTAGCCTTAACTCACTTGCGAATATTAATTAATTTAAAAACTAATTTTATGGGGTGTGGTTGAATCAGCATGCCTACTGTCCATATGAATTAAATATGAAACCTGCAGTGCAGATCCATTAATATCTTGGCAGTAATGAGTACACAAGCATCCAGTCAAAGATTAATTAATGAGTTCAATGTAGGAAGGCTAGCTGTCTCAATCATTTTTGGAGCATCTCTGATCAAACAGTTTTATCTATAACCTTTGGGAATTAGACAGAAGAACTGGTGGACAGTTTAAAGCATGTCATTTGATGAACAACTTTTATTTTCAAAATTGATTTGGTATAGATTAAGTTGTTAAGACTTATTTGATATTGTATAATATGATGGGTATATGACGGAGTCTAACACAACCAGTATAGAAATCTATCAATGATGTAATATTTGTTATAATTAATGCCCACAACACAAGGGATAGATAAACAATATTGTAAGGAAAAATCATGGAAATCTTAGAATCAAGGTTGACATGACTTTTTTTTGCACTCTAAAATGTTTAAGATAATTATAATATATTGACGGGTATATCAAGCCTTGGCGTTTCACTTTATTTACATTTTTGTTTTCATTTTTACCTCTACTCTTTGGATACATGTGGGGTATCCATATGTATCCAAAAGGTGAAGTTGTTAATCAAAGTGTATTCAATGTTTTTTGCAGTTAATTTTTCGAGTCAACAAAACCACTTCAAACTCAAACTTGATAAAACAGATATGAAGCAGAGTGTTCCTGCATACCATTCAGAAAATACAGCTGATGATGGGGAAAAGATGGAACCAGTTGATGAAGAGGCCAATACAACTGAAGCATCAAACACTGGACAGATATCACATGATGATATTGACATCAAAACCACCCCATCTCATGAACCACAGGGGACCACATCACCAGGAAATGTAGCAGATGTTGTGAAGGAAAGCAAAGATATTCCTCATAGTTCAGAAATTTCTGGAAATTTGCAAATTAGTGCAGAAGACATGTCAGATGATCCTGAGAAAAAAATTACCATGACTGACTTTGCAGGGCAGTGTTCATATTATGCCTCACACCAGATTTTTCTGAGTCCCCGGGCCTTCTTCATTCTGGTGCTGAATATGGAGAAGAAGTTTGGTGATAAGGTTGGAGAAGAAGTGTGCTGTCAGGAAGGTTCCATTTACGGGGAATGGACAAACAGAGGTTGTATACAATGAAATGACATTTATAAGCAATCTATCTATTTTAGCTCATCGAAGCTTAAAGCTCAAAATATATTTTCTGATCACATTGTGTCTCGTATCCCTCTGTATGACTATTTGAGAAAAATATTCTTTAAAAAATTTATTTTCAACTTGAAGTTTTCTCCAGAGCAAGTGATACTTTTTCAACCAAACATGCCACAAAGCATCTTTTGGTGAATGTAATTCAGGTTCATTCAATTGAAATTTCACAGACCTTTTTAATGCGAGATAATCAAGAATAAGATCCAATTTGGTGGCATCTGGATTCGCATTTGTTCAAATCATGAACCAAGGTGGGTCATACTGAGTAATCACTAATCAAATTGTTGCAAAGAACTATTAGAAGAATTTATATTAGATATGCTTTTCAAGCATAATTATATATTATATACTGCAGATTCAAGTTTATTCATATCATGACCCAAGGAGGCATGGTCGGACAACAAAATGTGATCAAGAACAAATAAAGGAAAACTAAAATATTTCATTTCTTCTTCTCAGGAGGTGCATGTAGTTAAAGTGATATAGAAGCAATCGAATCTATTGTACATAGATTCAGGTTTATGAAACGTAGGGGTAAGGTGGGGTCATAATGCGAAATCAAATCTTTACAAAGAAATATATGGGAAAATATCATAAAGATGTTCCTCTGAATAATAGCAAATGCTTAATTGATCATATTGATGTAGAAAATAGTTTCAAGTTTTTCCAAATCAGGAAATTTGCAAGTAAGATGGGACCACAAGGGGATCAAAGATTTATATATAGGGATATATGAGCGTTGTCCCGTAAAATCGTGGACAAGTTGTCTAGTTTGAAAAATAATCATCACTGCGTTCTGAAATTTCCACCACTCTTTAGTAGATAAATTATGAATATACATAGCAAATTTTAAATGATATATGCATAAGTAAACAAATTGTTATATTTTATGCTATGTACTGTATCGCCCTACGGCGCACGGATGATAACGTCGAAGTGTCTAAAACAGCGTCAGATTTCATTTTGCTAAACTTAAAGTTGGATAAGCCCCACTTAAATTAAAACAAAATTATTGATTTATATATGAAGTATCTATAACCAGTTAAGAAACCAATGTGGCACACTCATACAATCTTCTGAATATTTATTAGCAAGTTACAGACAGTATTCTCACCATCATTCAACTAAAAGAGAATCTCACATCGACAGTAGACAGTGACAACGTCCTTTGCTATTTCAAATGGCAGTCTGCCCATATGTTTTGTACTATCTGGGGACTCGACCACGAAGACTTCTCTAAGAAAACTTTCATTTCATTTATATACTAAAGATCTTGTGATATGTTTGATATTTTCTTGCTTCTGTATTCATTTCAAGTCCTTTAAGGCGTCATTATAACATCCTAATCTATCTGAAGGTGCGCCGTAAATCATAAAAAAAATTTTTCGTGTGTTGTGTTTATAACTTTCCCATTTCGAATGCTCGGGAAAATGCCAAAAATTAACCAAATGCCTTGAAATTTTTAAAAAGACGACAGAATTGATTAAAACAGGAATAGGATCAAATCATGACACCTGGGGGTAGGGTTGGGTCACATAGAGATCAAATCATAACACCTGGGAGAAGGTTTGGTCACATCAGGAAACCAAAGTCATCCATAGAAAAATTAATAAAAAAATCTTGTTAAGACTTTAGGGTCATATTGACCATTGTGATTCACGAGCCTTTATATAAACTTTATTCTTTTTTTCAGAACGAAATATCTTGTCTACTCTAAATTAATTGTTTTTGTATTTCTTTTTCAGATTATCTTGAATTCTGGATGAAGTCAGTTCATCAATACAGCAGTGATAAAGCCCCAGTTATCCTGGTTGGTACTCACAGTGAGGAGAAAACTGAAAAGGTACTCACACATTTTTTCCTTAACGACTGATATATTTCTATGCTTAAAGTATACTGACACGCAAAAGAAACGCAACACCCTACTTTAGGGGGGAAATAAATATGTAAAGTGGAGAATTTTGTGTCTTAAAAATATGAATATCTTCAATTCGGTAAACATTGGTAATTTAACGGTTGAACGATTTCAATATCATAACTGGAGGTCGGGTTTCAGTCTGTTTAACAGAAATCAAAAATTGCATGTTTAACAAAACATTTGGAAGTATTATGGACTTTTAAGGGTTTTTACTGTTCAAAATAAGTAATGCAGCAAAATGTCTCAAAAAATAAACTCTCCTTTCGTTTCCCCTAACGATGCACAGGCTGCTTGAAAATGGCTTATGAACGTATTTCTGTTGCTCTTGCTGGAAAATTTCAATGCAAAGGTGATGGAGAGTTGCTGATGCGAAATTTCACTACATTACGCCTCAACAGGGTCTAACGTATCAAATGCATTAAGGACAGTCCTTGTACCGGAAGTACAAGAGTGGCTACAGTGCTCTAAGTTAGAGAAAATTTGACCTAACCATCTGAAAAACGACCATTTAAAAATGTCAAAGAATAATTCCTTCGCTCATATCTCGATATTAATGAACCTACTGTATCGTAGAAATTAAGCTGCAGTTGTTGTTTAGGGCAGTCTTGCACATTTTACTTGAATGGCTGGGGGGGGGGGGTGTTTTAATAATCATATTTTACTTTGTGAAGTTACCAGATAAACATTTAACAGTTTTATAAGATCTCCGATGTTCTGAAAAGTGAGTTTAGCCTGACTTTATTCGCTTTTGAAAATCATAAGATAAAAAAAAATCAAACATTTGTAGATTACTGCTTGTTGGGTTCCTTTTGCGTGTGAGTATATTAGCCACTTTATTAGATAATCTGATCCGACATTGAAGAAAGTAAAGGAAAAAAAGTGATTCAAACATCTGAAGCATCAAAAACCAGAAAAAAGAAGAGCTTAAACAATAGTAAGGTCCGTCCGTCTGTCTAGTTGCTTCACAGCACAGTTAAGGCTTCAGTAGGGAAGCGGTGCCTAAATTAACATAGGAAATGTTAACTATGCGAAAATTCTCTTTGTGTAAACGGGATAAAAGTCTGTTTAAGGGAATGGTTTTCCTTTCTCCCAAGGGTAAGTAATTATGAAATATTGACAAATAAATGGTACCTATTTAAAAAAAAATCAAGATCCACTGGATTTAAATGGTGAATCTTATTGTGGAATCATCATTTAGGTGTGTATTGTACCTCTTGAGTCTGACTGTCTTTTATTTTAATAAACCCAAGCACTGATTCCAGCCATAAGCTTTTTAAACCCTGATAAATTTAAGATTAGTTTTATCATTTTCTTCTCACTAAACAATTGTTTATTTAAAAACAAATAAAACAAACTCACCACCCTTGGTTGGAAAAGTCTCCATGATTAAAAAATATAATAGATTATTTATTACATCTGACAATGAAATATAAAGGTCTGGAACAAATGTTCTTCACAGGATAAGAAGGGTCATGACATGTTTTATTTATATGCAAATATTTCCACTCACTGTAGAAATAAGATAATAAAGAATGAGTGCTTTTAAGATATGAGAGTTGGATCCCGATGTTTTGCGCAAAATAAAATTCCAAAATTCATTAAATTTATGATTTATAGGTATTAAACAATGTCTTAAGAGCAGATTTTGGTATATTTTTCTTATTTGCACAGAATATGTATTTTAACTTAAACTTATACATATCCAAAGGACAATGTTGGCCAAGTTGCGGCATATATCTAATTTAAAAAAAAATGTCCCCAAACTAGGGTCGAGATAGCTACTAAATTAACCGGTCACTGAGGAACAACGATTGATATTATAATCACCTTCCTCATGTGACCGTCTGCTGTTCGATACGCTAACGCTTTCATTGAAAACTTCATTGTGTTTAAGTCTCTGTTGTGACATTATCTATCGTACTTCCAACTTCAAACAAGGGGAGATTTTTGCGCAAATTTTAATAAGGTTTGAAGATAATATGTCTCTTATTTATCTTTATGCTTTTCATTAGGGGTGTATTGAAAGAACTCTGGTATTGACAGTGTCATTAGCAAGTACATGTATAGGCTTATGTCACCTCTGTATTATGGTCTGCACAGCGAGACATTTACCCCATCCCTTAACATTAGAATCATTTAATTATTGTGCACCATAAAAATCAACATGATCTCTCTCTCTTTCTCTCTCTCTCTCTCTCTTCTCCATTTCAATTCGCAATGTAAAAAAATCATATGTGCTAATGTTTACATTCCACAACCATGCGGTTTAAATGTCTCCGCCTATTTGCGGATACCTTACATTCGAAAGTGGTCCCGTTCAAATTTCCGGAATTTAAGGCTTTTACATGTTCTTTTCAATTACATTTTCTGTAATCATAGAAATATGTATGACAAAAAATTCTAGAAATAACTATCAAGAGCATATGCTTACACAATTTTCATAGATTAATTTAGCGATATATTGTAATGTTAATCTTAAAATGGGTAAAGGTTCCAAATGACGTACTTAATTGCACTCATTCTTTCTAAACAAATGCAGTGTTACAACGCAAAATGTAATAACAACGCTTAAATGTAATAAACTTGAATTATTACATTTTGCGTTATTACATTTTGCTTCGAGATCAACGCAAAATGTAATAATGCAAAATGTAAAAACACAATTTTTAGATTATAACATTTTGCATTATTACATTTTGCTTCGAGATTAACGCAAAATGTAATAATGTGTTTTTTCGTTGAAACATTTTGCGTTATTCTATTTTTGTACTGAAGACAACGCAAAATGTAATAAAACAATATGTAAAAAAAAAATTAACAAAACAAAATACAAATATTTTTTTTTTGATTTCGTTTTACAAAAAAGATCATAAAATTTATTCAAAATATACATATTACCAACATCGGAGACACGCTTTACAAAATATTTAGAACTTAAACAATGAGACAACGTTAGGGCTTTAAGGGACATTAATACATTACATCAAAATGTATCATTTTTTTACTCTGACTTCAGTTACATTGAATACACTGTGCTAAATTACAAAGCATTATTTAACTTTGATTGGCATAGTTTTGATAGTCGTATTAAATTTCCAATTAATAACACAAAATTTATTTAATTACCAAAAATTAGCCATAGGTTAATTATTAGCTCTTGATATTCATGTTTGACATGTGTACATTGGTTAACAAAGAAGTGTATGTGTGTGTCATGCGAGGAAGGTCAGGGATAGAGTGGAGGGTTTACTTAGTATGTTTATCATTGTATTACTATGGACATGCAGAAACAATCCATTTTATTATTGAATGGAGAGAGAGGGAGATGTTTTTGGATGTCTGCAATGCTGGTGATTTGCATGGAACAGTATAGTATCACAAGTGTCAATAAACCCCTTCCGATATATATTTACACCTGCTATTACAAATAAATAAGTTTCCTTTTATCGATTCATTGCATTTGTCTAAAAAAACCAAAACAAAAGTACACTGGTCAATACCCCAACAATCCCATACACACACGCGCGTTTCTAATTTGCAACACCTATTATTTGAATACATATATTAAACTGATTTTAATACAATGTAGCTTATTAAATCAATATATTAGGAAATTCATTAATTGTATGAAATTGCATATATCTGTTTTTTTCCTTTTGTTTTATTTCCTCTTCATCAGCCACGACTCTATTAAAAATTTTATTCAATCTGGCTGACCAAAGAGTGTGTTCTTGCTTTTTTCTTAATCTTGACGCAAAATGTAACAACACAAAATGTAATAATCCAAAAAACGTGTTATTACATTTTGCATTATTACATATTGCGTTGATCTCGACGCAAAATATAATAATGCGAAATGTAATAATCCTGAAAAGTGTGTTGTTACATTTTGCGTTATTACATTCTGCGTTGATTTCGATGCAAAATGTAATAATCCATGTTTATTAAATTTGGCGTTGTTATTTCATTTCGCGTTGTAACAGCAACAATATATTGTAATGTTAATCTTTAAATGGGTAAAGTTTCCAAACGTGCACTCATTCTTTCTCAATAAATGCAGTGAAAACACATTTCTTAATCATATCCTTTATTCCAGGAGAAAACACTATTTTTTCGTGAAGTATGGAAAACTTTAGAAATGAAGAAATCTCTACAGAAACATCTCAGTAGTATGCGACAATTTGCGATTGGATTCAATAACAACGAAGGCATCGATAGTATCAAGAAATCGATCCTTGATGTTGTGGGTAAACTTGATCACTGGGGTGAAGAGCTTCCACGCTCATGGGCTATGTTTGAAACATTCTTTCACGAGAAGAAAAAACTCAAGATTTTAAAGATAGATGCACTCATTGCTTTCAATGAAGCACTTCCAGAGGGAATAAAGCTCCAGACAACAGATGACATCAATGTTATGCTACAGTTCTTCCATGACATCAGAGAAATTTTATACTTTGCTCAAGTATTGCTCAGAGAAATAGTTATTCTTGACGTTCAGTGGTTTGCAGATGCATTCAAAAATGTCATAACAGATAAAAACCATGCAGAGGAAGATTTACTTGAGTTTACTGCAGAGTGGGACAAATTCAACGAAACAGGGGAGTTACCTGACACGCTGCTGTCTGCTATATGGGAAATGAACAACAATGGTTACATTGAACATAAACACGACATCATGCTGTACATGGAAAAATTAGGACTGTTAGCTAAAATGAGTGACAATAAGTGGTATGTTCCCTGTATGAACAAAATACCATTTCCTTTGAAATACTCATCATCCCATGCCTCCTCCATCCTCTGCTACATGTTTGATGTTCTTCCTGCTGGAATTTTCCATCGCCTTGTAGCTACATGCATGCAGATTCCCTGGAAGATCCTTACAGAGAGAAAAAGACCATGCATTTACCAGACCGCAGCTATTTTCACAGTTCAGGGTCACAACGTTCTTCTTGGAATGACTCCAAATGAAATTCAGCTGCAAGTGTTTGTTATTGAAGGAGAAGTTGAGCTATCAACATGCCATGAAGTGAAGAAAAAGATTGACAGTTTACTAAGTATTCTATCCACAACATTCCAAACAGACTTTAAGTTCATGTTTGGATTCAAATGCAAAGCTGTGGGATTTTGCGACAACCAAGAAAGCTCTGTAATTGATGAAGCAGAATTTAGTCAACCATCTTTTCTGTGTCCTTCCTGTCCAATAGAAAGCAAGCATATCATCAAAGCAAACGATATCACAATGTTTTGGATAGAGGTATGATACTCAGTATTTAAATTATTTTAAGTAAAAAAGACTGATTTTGCTCCTTAAAAGTACACATATGTGTATTTTTAAATTTGAACTTCCTTTTTCTGTTAAAGGTGCTGCAGTTGTTTTCCGGGTCAAAGTCTTATGTTTTGTGTTTTGAAAATCTGTCCTTTTGTTTAACTTCTACGAGCCCAAATAATCTTATTTCAGTCAAATATAAAATTCACTAAAGGGTAGGGAAATTTTTAATTTTAGATGCAGCATAAGCTTCTTAGATGGAGTCATTTGAGATTATTTTTTAAAAGAGTATAGCTCATTTTGACCATGTTTGTATGCTATGTTTCTTAGTAGCTATGATTAAATTTAAACTCCTTTGAGTCTTTGACAAACAGAGAGTTTTACACCCATTTGGAATAGTTGTGCATCATGAAGGTTTAGTTTAAAGTATAATGATCTCTTAAAGTTCATTTTATTTCCATTAAAATACAGTTGACAAGATTTAAGCCAAGTAAATAACCCATAGTATGAACATGATAAATTCCATATAATTAACAAGTCTTTAATGCGAAGAAGTTTTTTTTGGAGGGCGGGGGGGGGGGCTATCTGAAATTTTTTTACTACCTAAAATAATACAATCATGGTTTACATTTCTAGCAGGTAGTTGAAGAAGACCATTTATTATTTAAAAAATATTTCCAAATTTTATGAAAACAGCTGATATTTCATACTTTTAATATATTAAAAATTTCTTAATAAAATTACTCTTGGGTCAATTTCTTATCTTTTAAGTTGTACCCTTAATCCCTTTGCGAGGCTGTTGTTGTTTCTCATCTTTTTATTAATTTTACTTGATCAAATTAACTAAATGAAGTCGAATATTGTTTCAGCCGAAAACAAAGGCTTCAGTCTCTACAGTGGCTTCTGGAAAAGATCTCGGAGGCCGATCTAGATTTGCCAAACTCAGAATGGCATCAAACGATGTGTTAAATCAGGCATATAGAGATATACTAGAGATGTAGGTCCCCCTTCCGTTATTTACAACAAGGTGCAGGGATTTATCAAGGCTGTTTTTACTACCGGTTAACGGTACCTTTCCCCTCTTGAAAAAAGTGAAAAAATTCCCCTTTTCAGATAGAAAATTCTCTTGATTAAACAGAGAAAATTTAAAACATCGTACTGAAATTTTTCGTTTTTGTCCGATTGAAGTTTAACAGCATATCCTAACTTACAATCCTAGTCATTCAAACGCTTTTAAAAGAGAGAATAGAATATTCAAGCTTCTATTTGATATTGATCGGTAAACATGTGCCATGTCCATGATGTCAAAATCTGGATTGCAGAGTTAAAAAGAAAAGTGTAGATGAGTAAGACGGAGCTTATATCACTATGGATCGGAAGAATGGAGTAACAACAAAAACAATATTAGTAGTGAAACAGGAAAAAACAGAATTGATTTGTGATAGATATTGAGAGAAAAAATTAAATAAAGTACTGACCTGGTTTAATTTTTATTTTATTATTATTATTATTTTTTTTTTTTTTTTGTTATTTAATATTTTGTCTAAAAAGTGAAGTTTTTGTGGCCTTTATAAGGGTCTACAAATGGCCCTCAGAAGCTTTAAGAATGCAGGATTTTGCTCAATTTATTTAAAAATTTTCCGGACCCCCCTAGAATACTCGCGAATCTGGCGCTCATATCGAGCCTGCAGCTCTCATTTTTCCCCTTTACATATAAAACGGTAGTAAAACAAAAAAGCTGGATAAATCCCTGAGGTGAAAGCATCATCAATTTATAAAAGATTACGCCCCAAGCAAGAACATCTTTTACAAAATGCTCAACTATTAGGGTATAAGAATTTTGATATCTCATTAACATACACATTGATAAGAAACATTTGTAAAACTATTCCTAAACCGATAAAAGGAAAATGGGGAGAAGAGCCTGCAGCAAGAGAAGTGACCGTGGGTGATGATATCGAGAGAATAAGGTTAATCAATTTGGGACGTGCACATTAGTCCTTTGGTTGAGACCATCTAAACCAAGGTCCTTTGTTGCAGTAGTTGTTGGCATAAAAATAATCCCTTACTGCTCAATGACCTTGACTGCCAAGCATAGGTCCATATCTGTAGCTTTGCAGTCTTTTTCTACTTAAAAATGAAAATCTATATCAAGAAATATTGCTTATCGCCTATGTCTTTTGTGCTATTTTGGTTTTAAGTGAGATGTTACAATAGATGTCTACGCAATAACCCCCCCCCCCCTTCACACACAGACGCACTTCTACCATGATCAAAGCATGACCGAAAACAGGAGGAGAAAAGTCTTCATAAGCGCAGTATGATCGCGGTAGGGTTTTTTATTATGGCTTGATTGGGATGATCGTCATAAAATTGCAGCTCTGTATGAACAGCGGGGGGAGGGGGGGGGGAGGGGGAGTGAGGGAGGTTGGTGGGGGATCAGGTATGGAAACAATTAAAAATCCATACACGGAATGTCAATCCATATAGTGAGGGTATATTGAAGTATTGCAGGAGTTAATGATTAAAAATGCTAATCCATCCATTCTTATAAAGCTACTATTATTTGAATATTTTTGTCCTTGATATGTGTATGTAATATCAAGCAGCATCTACATCAAATGGTATCTTTTCAAGCATGTTCCTGTTTGCGTACATTATGTTTAGCTCACCTCCACGACGTTGGGGAAGCTTATGCAATACCGTATGGAGCAGTTTTTTTTTCAGTACTTCTATGTCCTATATTGATTAGACATGCATGGAATATGGTTTTTGTGTGTTTCATTTTACCAGTCAATGGTTCAAATGCTGCTCTTTCAGCAAAGGAATGACCAGGGTAATGTTTTTGGAGAAGGTTAACATTTTTTGGTGCATTTTTGGTGTAGGTTTCATTTCCAAGTAACTTTAAGCCCTATATTGACCAAACTTGCATGAATGATACATCTAAGGATTCACACTACCAGGCTTTCTTCGATGCTGAATCTGACCTATATTTTCCGGATGTTTGATCAAGTTAATGTTTTTGGTGCTGGTCTCATTCTCAAGAAGGATATTTAGATAACGAACAGTATTCAATCTCAAAGTCCACAAAATAATACAAAATAAGAGCAGAGAAAACAAAGACCTCCGAAATATCAGAGGTTGGATCAGGTGCCATGGAGAAGTGAGCATCCCTGCTGATCGGTCACGACTGCTGTGTGCTTATTGTCATGATCAGGAAATAAAGGAAAATAGAAAGTCAAGTATATAAATACATTTTGTACTGGACTAACAATTAGTATGAAAAACGTCAGTCAGCATTTGACTCACTGATAAAAGTAGCTTTGAGCCCTATAAAGACCAAATTATTATGGTTGATGCATCTAAGAAAGCATACAACCAGGCTTGCTTCGGATGCTGGATTTGAATTACATTTTCCGGATGAGTGAACAGGTTAAAAGTTTTGGTGAAGATTTCATTTCCAAGTTACTATGAGCCCTATATTGTCTAACCTTGCATTGATGATACATCTAAGGATGCATACAACTGGGTTTGCTACGGATGCTGAATCTGACTTGCATTCTCCGGTTGATTGAACAGGTTAAATTATTGACCCAGGTTTCATTTCAATGTAACTATGAGCCCTTTAATGACCAAACCTGCATGTATGATACACATAAGGATTCATACTACCAGGCTTGTTTCGGATGCTGAATCTGACCTACATTTTCTGGATGAGTGAAAAGGTTAGTTTTTATGCAGGTTTTATCTCAAAGTAACTATGAGTCCTATGCTGAGCAAACTTGCATGGATGACACATCTAAAGAAGCACACTAATAGACGTGCTTCAGATGCTAAATTCGACATACATTTTACAGATAATGCAGGTAAAATGTATAGTTGCAGGTCTATCACCAAGAAAGTAGAACGCCTATATCAATCAAATTTGAACAAAGGACGCATCAAGGAATGAAAACTCTCAAACTTGCTTCAGATGCTGGATTTGAATTACATTTTCTTGATTAGGTCTGTTTCAAAGTTACTGCAAGCCCTATCAGATAAAACTGTATAATATTAAATTTTGGATGTACACGTTTTAGAATGTTGGTTAATAGCCTTAAAGATAGCATTCGTTGAGGTGACCATTTAACGCTTTACATAAGTTAGTACTGACTTTTGTTAGAAAACATTGAATGGCAAATACTGTCTTCTTCCACCTATAATGCGCTTCCTGTAGTCATAAGTGACAAGATTTTATGTTTGTTGGTTGACATTTTTTTGCATATTACTTTATTTGTATTTTAAGCCTTTGTAAAAATTCATGGTTGATTGAAATTTTACATTTTCTTCCTCATGTCTTAGTTTTGTTACGACAGGCCCAACCTGTCGTAAGCATCATTTTGATGTTCGAGCATCAGACTTCATATTAGGGAAATTTATATAGTCATGTATTACAATTGCATTAAAATAATTGATTGATGATCGTTATCATTTTTAGAATCTTAAAGAGACTGAAAGTTTCCCAACTGTATCGCAGTCTCCTCTGGAAAGGACTGACCAGAGAGGTAAAGCAACTAATTTTTTTTCTTCATAATTTATACTCTACAATAAAATTGTGTTAAAATTGAGTTCAACATTTAAAAATTGATTTAATATGACATTATATTTACATCTACTGAATATTGATTCCCTTATTTCTTCTAAAAATCATTGAAATTAATCTGTCCATAAACGACACTGAGCAAGTCGCACGCATATATTTCTTGAACAATAGATAGTTTTCGATAGGCCTGAATTTAGCGAAAGTTACCTCCCGTTGGCCGCCATATTGGAGGTCGACTCAGTGATTTTCCCTCTTTGTCTTACTAAGTTTAAGAAAATATAGCAGAAATATTTGGTGGAAAATCTTTATCAAAGAATTTTTTTTAAATAAAGGAGGCTTCCAAAAATTTATATACTTCAGAAAAATAATGATTTCTAATTCAAAATAGCAAATATAAAAAATTTAAATTGGTTGAACAATGAAGGAATATGATCATTTGGACCTCCAGTATGGCGGCCAACGGGAAGTAACTCTTGGTCAATCGAAAACTATCTATAACTGTTCGATCAGTAATGCGCACAGTGACGCTAATGTGGGTTATGGATTTTTTCAACGTCTGCGACATGAATACCCGTACAAACAACCAACGTAAGCATTTGATTGTGTTAAAAAAATATTCACTATTTCTACTGTTTATTTAAAAAAATTAAGGGTTTGATGATAATTACATAGACATCTAAGGGAAACAAAGGGCAATTACTCACATAGCCTGTCATCAAATCTTTAGAACCCCTTAATATGTTTAATGTCTATAAAATTAATTAAGTTAAACATCATTAAGGTATGCCACTCATGAAATTAAATAAGTCAGGGATTTTTTAGTAGTATATTTTTAGATAAGTACTCATATAGTGTTATTTAAAATCGAAGAGAAAATAGGGGGTCAGTGTGTATCTTACTGATCTACGGTACAATTAAGTTGACCATTTTGCACTTAAACCTTAATACTTTGGTAAATTACTTTAACCTTTATCGTATTTTATAAGATAAAATCATGGAAATAAATATAATTTTATTTTGCGTAAAATAGTTTGAATTATATTTATCATTGAACTTGCAAATTAATGCACTCAATTTATTGTGTGACATTTTTGCACTAAAAGTAGCATATTTGGGGTATAAAAAAACTCAATAGGCAATAAAACATTTTCTTAAATCAAGCTTTTTACAACTTAAGTCCTGATCAGTCACAAGTATCGAGTACTTTAAAATAGTAAAAGAAAAAGTTGGGGTCAGTGATGTAAATTTTGAAATATTTGTCAAAATATGTGATTTTCAGGCGAAAAATGATGTAAATTTTATCTTGACTTATGTGACATATCTTTTTTTTTCTTTGTTTGTTAAAGGAAGATGTAAAACTTGTTCTAAAAATATAAAATAAGACCTATATTGAATATTACTAGCAATATCACAACTGAAA